CACCGACCGCCGTATACAGAGCCCGATGACACCGACCGCCGTATACAGACCGATGACCGACCGCCGTATACAGATGACACCGCCTGATGACACCGACCGCCGATGACAGAGCCCGACAGAGACACCGACCGCCATATACAGCACCTGATGACACCGACCGCCATATACAGAGCCCGATGACACCGACCGCCATATACAGCACCTGATGACACCGACCGCCATATACAGATGCCCGACCGCCGACACCGACCGCCGTATACAGAGCCCGATGACACCGACCGCCGTATACAGAGCCCGATGACACTGACCGCCGTATACAGAGCCTGATGACACCGACCGCCATATACAGAGCCTGATGACACCGACCGCCATATACAGAGCCTGATGACACCAACCGCCGTATACAGAGCCTGATGACACCGACCGCCGTATACAGAGCCTGATGACACCGACCGCCATATACAGAGCCTGATGACACCAACCGCCATATACAGCACCTGATGACACCGACCGCCATATACAACGCCTGATGACACCCCGACCGCCATATACAGAGCCTGATGACACCGACCGCCGTATACAGCGCCTGATGACACTGACCTCCGTGTACAGAGCCTGATGACACCGACCGCCGTATACAGAGCCAGATGACACTGACCTCCGTGTACAGAGCCCGATGACACCGACCGCCACGTACGTACAGAACCCGATGACACCGACCACCGTATACAGAGCCCGAAAGCCCGATGACACCGACGGCCGTATACAATGACACCGACCGATGACACCGACCGCCGTATACAGCGCCCGATGACACCCGACCGCCGTATACAATGCCCGATGACACCGACCGCCGTATACAGAGCCCGATGACACCGACCGCCGTATACAGAGCCCGATGACACCGACCGCCGTATACAATGCCCGATGACACCGGCCGCTGTATACAGAGCCAGATGACACCGACACCATATACAGAGCCCGATGACACCAACCGCCGTATACAGAGCCCGATGACACCGACCACCGTATACAGCGCCCGATGACACCGACCGCCATATACACCGAGCCCGATGACACCGACCGCCATATACAGAGCCCGATGACACCGACCGCCGTATACAGAGCCCGATGACACCGACCGCCGTATATACAATGCCCGATGACACCGGCCGCTGTATACAGAGCCAGATGACACCAACCGCCGTATACAGAGCCCGATGACACCGACCGCCGTATACAATGCCCGATGACACCGGCCGCTGTATACAGAGCCAGATGACACCGACCGCCGTATACAGAGCCCGATGACACCGACCGCCGTATACAGAGCCCGATGACACCGACCGCCATATACAGTGCTTTGAAGTCCCCTCCCCCTGAAATGTTCCCCATGTTGTCATGTTACAGTGTATCCCCCCCCCCCCATGTTGTCATGTTACAATGTATTCCCCTCCCCCCCATGTTGTCATGTTACAATGTATTTATCGGGATTGGATGTGATGGACCGACACAAAGTGGCACATAATTGTGAAGTGGAAGGAAAATGAGAAATGGTTTCCAACATTTGTGACCAATAAATCTGTGAAAAGTGTGGTGACATTTGTATTCAGCCCCCTTTACTCTGATACCCCTGACTAAAATCTAGTGGAGACAATTGCCTTCAGAAGTCACCTGATTAATAAATAGAGTCCCCCTGTGTGTCATGTGATCTCAGGATAAATCCAGCTGTTCTGTGAAGCCCTCAGAGGTTTGTTAGAGAACATCAGTGGACAAACAGCATCATGAAGGCCGAGGAACACACCAGGCAGGTCAGGGATAAAGTTGTGGAGAAGTTCTATCATCTGGAACCAGTCTGCCCATTCTCCTGTGACCTCTGACCTCAACAAGGCATTTTCCTCCCCACAACTGCCCCTCACTGGATATTTTCTCTTTTTCGGACCATTCTCTGTAAACCCTAGAGATGGTTGTGCAGGAAAATCCCAGTAGATCAGCAGTGTTTGAAAAGTCAGACCAGCCCATCTGACACCAAGAACCATGTCACGTTCAAAGTCACCTAAATCCCCTTTCTTCCCCATTTTGATGCTCAGTTTGAACTTCAGCAAGTTGTCTTCACCACCTCTAGATGCCTAAGAGCCCATTCACACTTGTGTGACTTGTCGTGTATTTTGGGTCCAACGTCACATGACAAGTCGCCCCCCATGTTTCCCAAAGAGCACCATTCAAATCTGTGCAATTTCAAGTCGCAGCAACCTGTAAGTAGATCCTGCACTACTTTGGTCCCACTTCCATGCCACTTGAGGGCCATAGACTTCAATGCAAACCCTCCAAAGCGGCATGAAAGTCACACCTGAATGTTATACTTGTGACTTGTACAGGGCAAACAATCGCCCCAAAACGTGCAACGTGTGTTTGGGTGTCATGGCTGAAGGCGGAGCGATTCTACCGCAACTGTCACATGACAGAATCGCACGGCAGGACACGTGTTTTAAAAATTGCGCCAAGCTGGTTCCCCGAAAAGAGGAGCAGGAGCTTCTTTGGGGCAACAAAGACATGTAAGGCAGCTCATTGAAGTGGATGGGCTGCCCTATGGGGGACACATGGAGGCAACAAAAATCAGGAATACTTGTTCCTGGTTTCCGATAGGTGAACAGGACCTGGAAATCTCGAATATTGTAGTCGTCGTTCCTCGCCGCTCTCATGGATTTTCATGGCTTGAACCACAAGGGGTTAACTTGTTTTTTTTTTATGGTGTGATGACATCTAGTGACAGTTTTAGGTCACTGCAACTTACTTTCCAATGTGTACTTTATTATTATTGAGGATGTATATGGCGCCAACAGTAGTCGCAGCGCTGTACAATATCAGGGCAGACAGTGCAGTTACAATCAGGGCTTTATTTTCAGCGGGGGGACGCAGTTCTGGCACCTCCAGCACCAAATGTATATCACGGTCTATTGATGTTGGCTGCTGGGGGATCTGGTGTCACTGGGGAGGGGGTCTGTATTTGTTGGGGAGGTCTGTTGTTGCTGGTGGGGGATCTATTGTTGCTGGGGGGTCTGTCTTATGTTGCTGGGAGGGATCTACTATTGAGGGAGGGGTCTACTGTTGCTGGCTACTGGGAGATCTGTTGTTTCTGGAGATCTATTGTTGATGGCTCCTGGAGGGTCTATTGATACTGGCTGCGGGGAGATCTATTGTTTCTGAGGGGAGGTCTTTGTTGCTGTGGGGTATTTTGTTGCAGGGGTCGGTCTATCTTTGCTTGAGGATCTATTGTTTCTGGGGGGTATTTTGTTGCAGAGGTCTATGTTTGCGTCGGGATCTTGTGTTGCTGGGGGTGTTTTTTTTGTGGGACCCTATCTTCGCTTGGAGATCTGTTGTCGCTTGGGGTTTTTCTGTTGTGGGGGTCTATTTTTGCTTGGGATCTATTGTTGCTTGGGGGTATTTTGTTGCGGGGGTCTATCTTTGCTTAGGGTTCTTTTGTTGCTGGGGGGTATTCTGTTGTGGGAGTCTATCTTTGCTTGGGGATCTTGTGTTGATGGGGGGTATTTTGTTGAGGGGGTCTATCTTTGCTTGCGGATGTATTGCTGCTTGGGGTTTGCTTGAGGATCTAGTGTTGATGGGGGTATTTTGTTGCGGGAGTCTATCTTTGCTTAGGGTTCTTTTGTTGCTGGGGGGTATTCTGTTGTGGGGGTCTATCTTTGCTTGCAGATGTATTGCTGCTTGGGATTTGCTTGAGGATCTAGTGTTGCTGGGGGTATTTTCTTGTTGGGGTTCTATTTTGCTTGGGGATCTTGTGTTGATGTGGGGTGTTTTGTTGAGGGGGTCTATCTTTGCTTGCAGATGTATTGCTGCTTGGGGTTTGCTTGAGGATGTAGTGTTGCTGGGGGTATTTTCTTGTTGGGGTTCTATTTTGCTTGGGGATCTTTTGTTGCAGGGGAGCTATTTTGTTGTGGGCCCCTATCTTTGCTTGCAGGTGTATTGTTGCTTGGGGTTTTTATTGTTGTGGGGTTCTATCTTTGCTTCAGGATCTATTGGTGCTGGGGGTATATTTTGTTGTGGGGGTCTATCTTTGCTTGGGGATCTTGTGTTGATGGGGGGTGTTTTGTTGTGGGGCCCTATCTTTGCTTGCAGATTTATTGTTGCTTGGGGTTTTTTTGTTGTGGGGGTCTATCTTTGCTTTAGAAAATATTGTTGCTGGGGGTATTTTGTTGTGGGGGTTTATTGTACCTGGGGGTCTGTTGTAGTTGGGGGTCTGTTGTACCTGGGGGTCTGTTGTAGTTGGGGGTCTGTTGTAGCTGGGGGTGGTCTATTGTTGCGGGGGATCTAATTTACTGCTTTCTTGTTACCATGAACACATTCCATACACATTTCTTTGCACCTCAGAATGATACTTTGTTGTGTATTCTCTAAAAGGTACTGGGAGGTGGGTAGGGTGAGGAACCAAGGGGCGGTGCTTAGAGGTGGGTAGGGGGCGGGGACAAGAGGTGACTCAGAAGGGGGGATACAATACAATAAAAAAAGAGGGTTAGTAGGGCCCGGCTCATAGGAGCTTACAATCTAATAGGGGGCGGGGCAAGTGGTACAAAAGGTAATAACTGTGAGGGATGAGCTGATGAAGGTGACAAATGTCTAGTTGGAGGTGAGATCGGCTTCCCTGAACAGATGAGTTTTCAGGGACCGCCTAAAGGCAGCCAGAGTAGGGGATAGCTGGACAGATGCAGGTAGAGAGTTCCAGAGGATGAGAGAAGCTCTGGAGAAATCCTGGAGATGATCATGGGAGGAGGAGACAAGGGAGACAAGGGAGCAAGAGGTTGTGGGAGGAACGTAGAGGACAGTTTGGGTGACAAGATGGAGACAGAGATGTAGCTCTGGGCAGAGTTGTGGATGGCTCTGTATGTTGTTAGTGTTTGAATTTAATTCACTGGGCAATTGTAACCCAGTGGAGGGATTGGGAGCGAGGAGTGGAGGAGACTCAATGGAGGCCAGTGGAGGGATTGGGAGTGAGGGGCGGAGGACACTGAATGGAGGCCAGTGGAGGGATTGGCAGGGAGGGGTGGAGGACACTGAGTGGAGGCCAGTGGAGGGATTGGCAGAGGGGGGTGGAGGACACTGAGTGGAGGCCAGTGGAGGGATTGGCAGGGAGGGGTGGAGGACACAGAATGGAGGTTATAAGAAAGATTGGTAGTGAGGGGTAGAGGACACTGAATGGAGGCAAGTGGAGGGGTTGGCAGAGAGGGTGGAGCACAATTATTGGAGGATAATGGAGGGATTGGCAGAGAGGTGTGGAGGACACTGAATGGAGGTCAGTGGAGGGATTGGCAGAGAGGGGTGAAGTACACTGAATGGAGGCTATTGGAGGGATTGACAGAGAGGACTGGAGGACACTGAGTGGAGGCAAGTGGAGGGATTGGCATAGAGGGTTGGAGGACACTGAATGGAGGCCAGTGAAGGGATTGGCAGAGAAGGGTGGAGGATACTGAATGGAGGCCAGTGGAGGAATTGGTAGAGAGGAGTGGAGAACATTAAATGGAGGCCAGTGGAGGGATTGACTGAGAGGGGTGGAGGACACTGAATGGAGGCCAAGGGAGGGATTGGTTGAGAGGGGTGGAGTACACTGAATGGAGGCCAGTGGAGGGTTTGGTAGAGAAAGGTGGAGGACTCTGAATGGAGTCCAGTGGAGGGATTGGTAGAGAGTGGTGGAGGACACTGAATAGAGGCCAGTGGAGGGATTGGCAGAGAGGGGCAGAGGACACTGAGTGGAGGCCAGTGGAGAGATTGGCAGAGAGGGGTGGAGAAAAACTGAGTGGAGGCCAGTGTACTGCTATAAATGCCTTGATGATGTCAGAGGTCAGAGGAGAATGGGCAGACTGGTTGGAGATGATAGAAAGGCAACAGTAACTCCAAGAACCTCTCATTACACCCAAGGTGTGCAGAATACCATCTCTGAACACACAACACGTCCAACCTTGATGGGCTACAGCAGCAGAAGACCACACAGGAGGCCAATCATGTCAGCTAAGAACAGGAAATTTGCACAGGCTCACCAAAATGGACAACAGAAGATTAGAAAAATGTCCCCTGGCCTGATGAGTCTGGATTTCAGCTGCGACATTCAGATGGTAGGGTCAGCAGGATGGATCCACCACACCCTGACACCACCACCAGCCTGAACCATTGATACCAAGCAGGATGGATCCCCACACCATGACACCACCACCACCAGCCTGAACCACTGATACAAGGCAGGATGGATCCCCCACACCATGACACCACCACCACCAGCCTGAACCATTGATACAAGGCAGGCTGGTGGTGGTGTCATGGTGTGGTGGATCAAACCTGCCTTGTATCAATGGTTCAGGCTGGTGGTGGTGGTGTCATGGTGTGGTGGATCAAACCTGCCTTGTATCAATGGTTCAGGCTGGTGGTGGTGGTGTCATGGTGTGGTGGATCAAACCTGCCTTGTATCAATGGTTCAGGCTGGTGGTGGTGGTATCATGGGGTGGGGGAGATCCTTTTGGCACACTTTGGCCCCTTAGTACCAATTGAGCATTGTTGAGTATAGTTGCTGACCATGTCCACCACTTCATGACTCCAGTGCCCCCATCTTCTGATGGCTCCTTCCAGCAGGATAATGCTCCATGTCACAAAGCTCCAATCATCTCCAACATGACAATGAGGTCACTGGACTCCAATGGCCTCCACAGTCACCAGATCTCCATCCAATGGAGCACCTTTGGGATGTGGTGGAACGGGAGATTCCCATCATGGATGTGCAGCCGACAAATCTGCAGCAACTGTGTGATGCCATCATGCCAATATGGAGCAAAATCTGTGAGGAACGTTTCCAACACCTTGTTGTATCTACACCACGAAGAATGAAGGCCAAAGGGGGCCCAACCCGGGACAAGCCAGGGGGACCTAATAAAGTGGCCAGTGAGTGTATATGGGGGTATTAGTCATGCTGCATACACCACTTCAAAACAGAGGCAGCGATTGGGGCCTGCAAAATGTGTCACAGCAAGCCGAAATATGGGGCTGACCGAGGAAAAAGTACCTCTGGGGGCGCTGCATAACACAGGATGGTCTGGGGGCGCTGCATGACACAGGATGGTCTGGGGGCACTGCACGCCACAAGGCACTCTGGGGGCACTGCATGCCACAAAGCACTCTGGGGGCACTGCATGACACAGAGCGCTCTGGGGGCACTGCATGACACAGGGCGCTCTGGGGGCGCTGTATGACACAGGATGGTCTGGGGGCGCTGCATGAGACAGGGTGCTCTGGGGGCACTGCATGACACAAGATGGTCTGGGGGGCACTGCAGGACACAGGATGGTCTGGGGGCGTTGCAGGACACAGGATGGTCTTGGGGCGCTGCATGACACAGGATGGTCTGGGGGGCACTGCAGGACACAGGATGGTCTGGGGGCACTGCAGGACACAGGATGGTCTGGGGGCACTGCATGACACAGGATGAGGATGGTCTGGGGGGCGCTGCATGACACAGGATGGTCTGGGAGCGATGCATGACACAGGATGGTCTGGGGGGCGCTGCATGACAGAGGTTGGTCTGGGGGTGCTGCAGGACACAGGATGGTCTGGGGGGCACTGCAGGACACAGGATGGTCTGGGGGCGTTGCAGGACACAGGATGGTCTGGGGGCGTTGCAGGACACAGGATGGTCTGGGGGACGCTGAATGACACAGGATGGTCTGGGGGACGCTGAATGACACAGGATGGTCTGGGGGGCACTGCAGGACACAGGATGGTCTGGGGGCACTGCAGGACACAGGATGGTCGGGGGGCACTGCAGGACACAGGATGGTCTGGGGGCACTGCAGGACACAGGATGGTCTGGGGGCACTGCATGACACAGGATGGTCTGGGGGCACTGCATGACACAGGGTTCTGTATAGGCACTGCATGATACAGGATGGTCTGGGGGCGCTGCATGACACAAGGTTCTGTATAGGCACTGCATGACACAAGATGGTCTGGGGGGCACTGCAGGACACAGGATGGTCTGGGGGGCACTGCAGGACACAGGATGGTCTGGGGGGCACTGCAGGACACAGGATGGTCTGGGGGCGCTGCATGACACAGGATGGTCTGGGGGCGCTGCATGACACAGGATGGTCTGAGGGGGCACTGCAGGACACAGGATGGTCTGGGGGCGCTGCAGGACACAGGATGGTCTCGGGGCGCTGCATGACACAGGATGGTCTGGGGGGCACTGCAGGACACAGGATGGTCTGGGGGGCACTGCAGGACACAAGATGGTCTCGGGGTGCTGCATGACACAGGATGGTCTGGGGGGCACTGCAGGACACAGGATGGTCTGGGGGGCACTGCAGGACACAGGATGGTCTCGGGGTGCTGCATGACACAGGATGGTCTGGGGGCACTTCAGGACACAGGATGGTCTGGGGGCACTGCAGGACACAGGATGGTCTGGGGGCACTGCAGGACACAAGATGGTCTGGGGGCGCGCTGCATGACACAGGATGGTCTGGGAGCGATGCATGACACAGGATGGTCTGGGGGGCACTGCATGACACAGGTTGGTCTGGGGGTGCTGCAGGACACAGGATGGTCTGGGGGTGCTGCAGGACACAGGATGGTCTGGGGACGCTGCATGACACAGGATGGTCTGGGGGCTATGCATGACACAGGGTTCTGTAGAGGCACTGCATGATACAGGATGGTCTGGGGGACTGCATGATACTGGATGGTCTGGGGGACTGCATGATACAGGGTGCTCTGGGGGCACTGCATGACATGGGGTGGATGGGTTCACAGGGGTTACTAAACATGCAGTAGTCAACAGAGACACAAGAGCACATGGGGCTCACAAGCTTCCCTGGAGACAGGGGTCACTGGAGCCATAGCAGTGCACAGGGGTCACTGGGGACACTGTAGCCACAGGAAATCCAAAAGCACATTGGGGGGTCACTAGATACACAAGAGAATATAGGGGTTGCAGGGGTCATTGAATACACAAGGGTTGCTTGAGCGCACAAGGATCGCAGGGTACTCCAAGACTCAGGGGCATCGGGTTTACTGGAGTGACCCTGGGGGTCAGTTGAGTGCACAGGGGTCACTGAAGGCACAGGAGTACATGGGGGGTCACTGAAGGCACAGGAGTACATGGGGGGTCACTGAAGGCATAGGAGTACATGGGGGGGTCACTGAAAGCACAATAGTACACAGGGGGAGTCACTGAAGGCACAGGAGTACATGGGGGGGTCACTGAAGGCACAGGAGTACATGGGGGGTCACTGAAGGCACAGGAGTACATGGGGGATCACTGAAGGCACAGGAGTACATGGGGGATCACTGAAGGCACAGGAGTACATGCGGGGGGGGGTCACTGAAGGCACAGGAGTACATGGGGGGTCACTGAAGGCACAGGAGTACATGGGGGATCACTGAAGGCACAGGAGTACATGCGGGGGGGGGGGGGTCACTGAAGGCACAGGAGTACATGGGGGGGGGGGGGGGGGGTCACTGAAGGCACAGGAGTACATGGGGGGTCACTGAAGGCACAGGAGTACATGGGGGATCACTGAAGGCACAGGAGTACATGCGGGGGGGGGGTCACTGAAGGCACAGGAGTACATGGGGGGGGTCACTGAAGGCACAGGAGTACATGGGGGGGTCACTAAAGGCACAGGAGTACATGGGGGATCACTGAAGGCACAGGAGTACATGGGGGGGGGTCTCTGAAGGCACAGGAGTACATGGGGGGGGGGGTCACTGAAGGCACAGGAGTACATGGGGTGTCACTGAATGCACAGGAGTACATGGGGGGTCACTGAAGACACAGGAGTACATGGGGGGGTCACTGAAGGCACAGGAGTACATGGGGGGGTCAGTGAAGGCACAGGAGTACATGGGGGGGGGGGTCACTAAAGGCACAGGAGTACATGGGGGGTCACTGAAGGCACAGAAGTACATGGGGGGTCACTGAAGGCACAGGAGTACATGGGGGGATCACTGAAGGCACAGGAGTACATGGGGGGTCACTGAAGGCACAGGAGTACATGGGGGGTCACTGAAGACACAGGAGTACATGGGGGGTCACTGGAGGCACAGGAGTACATGGGGGGTCACTGAAGAAACAGGAGTACATGGTGGGTCACTGAAGGCACAGGAGTACATGGGGGGGTCACTGAAGGCACAGGAGTACATGGGGGGGTCACTGAAGGCACAGGAGTACATGGGGGGTCACTGAAGGCACAGGAGTACATGGGGGATCACTGATGGCACAGTAGTACATGGGGGGTCACTGAAGGCACAGGAGTACATGGGGGGGGGGGTCACTGAAGGCACAGGAGTACATGGGGGATCACTGAAGGCACAGGAGTACATGGGGGGGGGTCACTGAAGGCACAGGAGTATATGGAGTGTCACTGAAGGCACAGGAGTACATGGGGGGGTCACTAAAGGCACAGGAGTACATGGGGGATCACTGAAGGCACAGGAGTA